TTCGCGGGCGACCAGGTGCGCCGCCACTGCCGTGAAGTCGGGCGTGTCCCTCTGCAGGAGGAATGTGCAAGAACAGGCAAAACAAATCGCATGGGGACGATTTGTTGTGGGATATGTTGGACTATTTTGGATTATGTTTTGGTGATTCTTTATTTGTCATCCAAAATCCGCCTGTAGGGGGACATGCCCGATCTAACACTGCCGGAGAGGGGGAGGCAGGCGAGGTCTGCGCAGGAAGGGGACGCGGCGGGAGGAGGGGAGGCAGCAGCAGCAGCAGCAGGTCGCGCTGCCCCCTCTTCCCCCCTCTCCCCTCTCCCCTCTCCCCGTCTCCCACTCTCTCCCCCCCTCCTCCTTTTTTCCCCCCTCTCCCCCCTCCTCTTTCCATCCGCTTCCCTCCTCTCCACCCCTCCCCCCTCTCCCTGTCCCTCCTCTTCCTCGCCCCCCCTCTTCCCCCAGTCCCCCCCCCCCCCACCCCCCCCCCCCTCCTTTCCCCTCCCCCCCCTCCACCACCCCCCCCTCCCCCTCCCTCCTCTCCCCCTCTTCACCCCTCTCACCCTCCCCCCCCCCTCCCCCCATCTCCCCCTGCTCCCCCCTCTCCGCTCCGCCGCCCGCGGCCTCTCTGCCCCCTCGCGCCCTTCTCGCTCCTGCCTGTGCCCAAGCCGGCCCCGCAGTGCTCCCTCGGTTGCCTCGACCGGCGCCTGGTGCCAAGAGACTGTTTTTTTTTAGGGTCGGGCGACAACCCGGGTTAATTATCGGGCTTGCCCCCCCTCCCGCCGTGACCCTCGGCCGTCGCGCGTACAGTGCGCGTCGTGTACCGTCTGGCGCCGCTGGCCTCCTTGGAGGGCGCCGTTGGCGGAGGCGCGCGGCCCTTCGGTGTCTTCGGCGGGGTTCGCAGCCTCGACGGCTCGAAGGAGGGGGCCCTTCGGCAGGGCCGCCGCCCGATCGGCATCCCGCCGCGCGCCCCCCCCGGGATAACCGAACCTTGCCGGTTGTGCAGGCCCGCGAGAGGGGGGGGCGCGGGCATCTGCAGGGCTGCCCACCGCGCGAGGGTTAGGGCATCGGCCGGCCCCCTCCTCCCCCCCCCGGGATAACCCGGGCTATCGCCGATTCAAAAACGACGGTCTCCCAGCGGTTGCGGCGAACGTTGTGCTGGTCGACCGCTGGCTGGCGCAGAGACCACCGAGAGCCCAGAGCCCATGCGCAAGCGCTCCGGCGCCGCTTTGGCGTCACGCACAGCGTTGGGTGCTGCCCAGCACTGGGTCGGGGTCCGCCTCGCGCGCACGTGCCGAGAGGGTCGCCGCGGCCTGCAGCGTGACCTGACCCGGCTTGACGTGGGGGCTCCTGCTGTTCACCCTGGGTCCTCCATCCTCGCTCCGCAGCGCTCCACGAGCCCGCTCCCGCGTGCGTTCCCCCGTCGTGACTCCTGCTGTGTCTCCCCTGCCTTCTCCCCTTCTTCATGTACCATCACGTTTCCCAGCGGCTCTCCTCATGTCTCCCTGCAATCCGTGATCGAAGGCGCTGCTGCAAAGCACGAACCGCTACGTACTTATATCAGGAGGGGAAAAAACACACAGACACAATTAATCATCGACTCCCCAGAAAATAGGGAACATATGGGAAGTGGGGGGAAGACAGAAACCCAGAAGATACGGGAAACTATAGGCCATCTGTTTTTTGTGTGTCTATTTATTTGTGTGTCCCAGTTCTCCTGCATTATACGTTGGAGCCGAGGCCGCCCCTCGCCCCCCCTCTGAATCCGGAATGCGGCGGGGGCCCAGGTGCAGCGGCATGCTTCAGGAGGGGCAAAAACACAGATACACAATGAATCGTCGATTCCCTCGAAAATATGGGAAAGTATGGGAAGTGGGGGGAAGACGAAAACCCAGAAAATATAGGAAAATATGGGGAGTCCTTTTATTTGTGTGTGTGTGTATCTATTTGCGTGTCCCAGGGCCCCTTCAATGCTGGCCCTTCGGCCACGGTAGCTTACCACTGAGCGGCTGGTTCCGCTGTTGCCATCACCCTCCGCCTCTTTCAGACGTAGGGGAACAACAAGTGACATAAACATACAAACTCGGAGGTCCGCGCGGATTTCTCGGATCGGCGCTGGGGGCCCCCCGGCGGCGCCTCCAGCGCCGCCCCTGGCGCGCTCCGCGCGCCAGGGTAGGGGGGGGTCCAGCGCAGATCCGATAAGTCCGCGCGGACCGCCGAGTTTTCATGTTTCTGTCACTTTTGCTCCCCTAAGGTTCCCCCCCTCCCCCTCGTTCGGATGCAACTCCTGGGAGGTCAAATTCTGATTTTGCCCCGGTCCGCAGTCCGGCTCAATCCCGCTGAATCCCGGCCAATCCCGCTTACTGCGGCTTAATCCCGCTGCATCCGGCTTCATCCCGTTTAATCCGAAGCCTACTCTGGCGTAACAGCCCGGCATTGGGGCTTCATCCTCCTTAATCTTTCCGACGAAGAGTCTTCGTCGGAAAGATTCGTCGAAGACGAAGACCTCCCAGCAGTTGCTTCCTAACCCTCGCTGTCATCGAGGGAGCAGACACCAACCCGACCCCAACGGCCGGCGTTTTTGTCAGCCCACCCCGGCCGCCCACGAAACGGTCCTCCTGCCTTGCTCGCATCGTTTCTCGGGTGCTTTCACGGAAGGGCTTCGTGCGTCGGGGTGCTTGTACAAAGTCGGGCGTGTCCTTCTACAGGGGGGATATCCATAAACAGTCAAGAAATAGTCTGGGGACTATTTTTCGACTACTTTTGATTATTTTTGGGGGGGGTACGTTTTGAGTATTCATTTATTTGTTTCGCCCAAAATCCCCCTGTAGGAGGACACGCCCGACTTGATGCTCGTTCTGTGGGTGGTGTTTTCTGCCCTCTGCGGGCGAGCGATACGCCGTGCCCCTGAGCGGCATTCTGCCGCCGCCCGCCGCGGCGGCTCGGAGCCCCTCCGCCAGCTCGCCGCAGGCCCCGCCTCGTCCCGCGGCCGCGCCGGCTCGAGCCCATGACGACGATGCCGACGAGGACGATGGCGATGGCGATGCCCTTCCCTTTCGGTGGCACATGGCGATGTCGGTGACGACGACAATGACGATGCTGAAGATGACGATGACGATGCTGATGTTGTTGATGATGATGACGATGCTGACGATGCTGATGATGATGATGATGATGATGATGATGATGATGATGATGATGATGATGATGATGATGATGATGATGATGCAGATTACTTATGCTGATGATGCGGCTGATGATGATGATGCTGATGTTGTTGATGATGATGACGATGCTGCTGCTGCTGATGATGATGATGATGATAATGATGCAGATTATGCTGATGATGCTGATGATGATGATGATGATGATGAGCCCTTCTTTTCGGTAGCACACCATGGGGGCATTCGCGTCGACTAGTCAGTGTCGGTTAGCTTCCATTCGCGTCGATTAGCGTCGGCTCAGCGTCGGTTCGGCGTGGGCCAGCGTCGCTTCGCAAGAGCCAGCAGGATGAGGAGGAGGAGGAGGAGGAGGAGCAGAAGGAGGAGGAGGAGGAGGAGGAGGAGGAGGCGGTGGGGAGGAGGAAGGAGGAGGAGGAGGAGGAGGATGAGAGAGAGGAGGGGGAGGAGGAGGAGGAGGAGGAGGAGGATGGTATGGGAGGCTCCCGCGAGCTGCCGCAGAGCCCCCTCCCCTCAAGGTGTACAACGGCGACCTGACGCCCCCCGACTCCCGCAGCCAGTGGCACGCCCTCATGGACACCGCCCGGCCACCGGGCCTGCCTCTTGGCATCGCTCGGACGTGTGCATTTTCCCTCCGGCGAGGGCCATCTCGGGCCGGACGAAAGGGGGGGATTGGGAGGAGGAGGAGGAGGAGGAGGAGGAGGAGGAGGAGGAGGAGGAGGAGGAGGAGGGGGAGGAGGAGGAGGGGGAGGAGGGGGAGGAGGAGGAGGAGGAGGGAGGAGGAGGAGGAGGAGGAGGAGGAGGAATCCTCAGGGGGATTGGGAAGGGGGGGGTACGAAATTCTTTACGCTTCACGTATCCCCACCAGCCCATCTCACAGCAGCAACTCTTGCGAAGCATGCCGACAGTCGTGTTTTTCAGGCGTGTGTCCGCTTGGCCCCGCATATCTCCCCTGTTCCTCCTTCCTCTCGCCTCCTTGTACATCCTCCTTGTGGGGGGAGCGGGAGAAGGACGAGGCGGAGGAGGAGGGAGAGACAGCGCTCCTCGTGATTTGAGTTGTTTGGGGTTTTTCGTCCTGGTGTGAGTCGTTCGGGCCCTTCTTCCTGGTGTGAGTCGTTCGGGCTCTTCGTGGTGTGAGTCGTTCGGGCTCTTCGTCCTGGTGTGAGTCGTTCGGGCTTCTCGTTGTGTGAGTTGTTCGGGCCCCTCGTCGTCGTGTGAGTCGTTCGGGCCCCTCCTCTTGGTGTGACTCGTTCGGTCTCCTCGTGGTGTGAGTCGTTCGGGGCCCTCGTCGTGGTGTGAGTCGTTCGGGCTCCTCGTGGTGTGAGTCGTTCGGGCGCCTCGTCCTGGTTTGAGTCGTTCGGGCCCCTCCTTTTGGTGTGAGTCGTTCGGGCTCTTCGTGGTGTGAGTCGTTCGGGCCCCTCGTCCTGGTGTGAGTCGTTCGGGCTCCTCGTGGGGCCTCTTGGGGGCCTCTTGGAGCCTCTTGGGGCCTCTTGGGGGCCTCTTGGGCGCCTCTGGGGAGCCTCTTGGGGGCCTCTTGGGGCCTCTTGAGGCCTCTTGGGGGCCTCTTGGGTGCCACTTGGGGGCCTCTAGGGGCCGCTTGGGGGCCTCTTGGGGGCCTCTTGGAGGCCTCTTGGGAGCCTCCTGGGGGCCTCTTGGGGCCATCTTGGGGCCTCTGGCGACCTCCTCAGAAGCGCAAATGAGAGCTGCCCCCTGAGAAGGACAAAATGAGCCCAAAACCTTCGTAAAATCAATGATTTTGCTATGAAGGAAGAGGAGCGCGGTGTTTTTTGCTTCGAAGACGAGCTGAGGGACCAAACTCCCCCCCCCCCCCCCTCGGGGCCAGAATCCTCGTGAGGGTCGTCGTTTTTTGGCCCTCCCAGGCGCCGAAAAAGACCCCCCTGACGACGCTCGGGAATCCCTCTCCAGGTCCAGGGGGAGGGGGTAGGGGGAGGGATTAACCCCTCCCCGAAGGGGAAGAAGGGGGGTTGAGGACAGAGAGAGCTCCCTAAACCACTCACGCCCAAAGGGCTGGTGGGATTTGCTGCATGCAGCTGGTTTCGGCCTCACCGAGGGGCCCGTTCCTCGATGCATGGCCGCCTCCGGCGACGGGCGGCGCCGGGAACATCAGCTAATTTCGTGAGCCCCCTTTCGCCCGACCCGACCATCGAGGAGCATCCTTAAAATCACTGGGCGAGAAAACCGCGCGCGAAACCAGGAGCATCGCTCGAACGTGTGCATTTTTCCTCCGGCGAGGACCATCGAAGAGCATCCCTAATCATTGGGCGAAAAAACCACGCGCGAAACCGACAAAAAAGCACAGGGAATGGACGTCCGAGCCACGGCCAGGCCTGGGGGGGCCGCTCTCCTCGCAGCCGCCGGGGCGCCGTCGCGCGCCGCACCTCTCAGGAGGAGAGAAAGAGCACACAGACGCAATTGATCGTCGAGTCCCCAGAAATCCATGGGAAACTAACTGGGAAGTGGGGGGGGAGAGACGAAGACCCAGACAATGCGGGAAGATATGGGAAGTGGGGGGGGGGGGGGGAAGACGAGAGCCCAGACAAGAGGGGGAACTATGGGGAAGCCTTTTTATTTGTGTGTGCATCTATTTGTGCGCGTGTCCTGGGGGCCCTTCAGCCTCCCCGGGGTGCCTGGCCTCGGGGGAGGGCCCGCCGGGACAGCGGCGGCTCTCCCGGGCGCTCCTCGCTCTGCTCTCGTCGGCACGAACGGAACCCAGACACGATGGCGTCGTAAAAAAATCAGGACGGGCGGTTTTTGGGTATTTTCGCCCAGACCTCGGGCGTCTCGAAAAAATCGAGACAAAGGTTTTTCATCGTTTTCGGCCTCTGGAGGCCCTCGCCGGGCCTCGGGACCGTCAAAAAACGACTCAGGACGAAGAACCGGTCCCGGGGAAAGGGTCGGGACTTGCGGGGACGCCATCCTGAAAAGATCAGGACGTCGCATGTCTGGGAATGGGTGCGGAAAGAATGGGTACAATGCCCAACAGCAGTTCCTGTTCCTTTTGAGCAGGATTCGCTGTCCACGCCGCCGCGTCCTGTGTCCATTCGAGGCAGAATGCCGCCTGCCCAGCAGCGGCCGCTGTTGGTGTGGCACAACATTTGTTGTTGGGCATTGTACCCATTTTTTTCCGTACCCATTTCGGGCGTCCAGATCTCGGGCCTCCTGGAGCCTAGGCCTGCCAAGTGGGGCCGAAGCAGCTGGGGTCGGGGGCCTGTGCCGCATCGCCGATGCATCGGCGATGCGGCTCGATGCGGAGCCCGATTCTCTCCGCGCCGTTTTCGCCGATACACCGCCAACCTCGCCGATGCATCGGCCATGCGTTGGCGATGCGGCAGGATCCTCCGACCCCATCCACTCTGACAGGCTTCTCGCCGCCACGCCTGGGTCCGTGTCGGACGACGGGTCAGCATGCCCCCCGGGAGAGGTCTGGGGACCGAGTTGGAGCGGCGGCGTGGGGTCCAGACATCCCTGAGATCCGAGGTTGCGAAACAGATGCAGCATCGCAAGAGATGGCGCCCGGAGCCCCGGTGAGGGTCCCAGGGCCCGAAAGAAAGCGAAAGCGCCCGATCCGAAAAATTGGAGTCGCCAGGATCTCACGGCCCAGGGCCCGAAAGAAAGCGAAAGCGCCCGATCCGAAAGAAAGGGCCCGAAAGAAAGGTCGCCGGTGAGGGACCCAGGGCCCGAAAAAGTGCGCGAAAGCGCCCGACTCGAAAAATTGGAGTCGCCAGGATCTCACGGATGGCGCCCTGCGAAAAAGCGGCACGGAGGTGTTTCGTCGTTTTCTCGCCCTCTGGGGGGCCCTCGCTGGGCCCCGGGGGCCATCCACAAGCGGTTTCGGGATACCAAGCCGGCCCCAGCGAGGGTCGGCTTCCGCCCTCCTTTCCAGCATCATCCCCCTCCCCCTCGAGTAGGGGATCGACTACAGTTTTCGTTTACCCCAAAGTTGATTCTCTCGCCGAAGTCACCAACAAGTATGTAGAATGCGCGCAGATCTACGGAACAAACTATGTATTTCTCGCCGATTCGACGCGCAAATCAATTTCGGGGTAAATCAAGGATGTAGTCGATCCACTACTCGATCCCAAGATTAGAGCACCTTGTTTTACTGGAGAAGTGTTGGGGTGCGCCCTCGAAGGTGTCGAAACTCTGCGGAAGTCTCGCGCTGACGCAGCTCTCTACTTTTCGCTCCTCCTCGTTCCTCTCCTCCCTCGTTTTCCTCGTCCTTTGCATGCTCGTCCAAGAGAGCCCCAAAAGGACCCCAAGACCCCCCAACAGAGTCCCAAGAGGGCTCCAAGAGGCGATTCTGAGGGCTCCTGATGGGGGGGCCGAAATCAAGGACCCCCCTCCTCCTCCTCCTCGTCCTCCTGGTTACCTTCTCTTGGCGCCTTCTGCGCTGCTCTGCCGCCTTCTCATGGTATCGTCCTCGTCCTCTTTCGCTCGTTCGCCTGAACCGTCCGCCCTCTGCCTCCTGCCTACTCCCCGTCCTTCATCGCCAACAAAAGAATAGTGGAGACCCATGCCGAGAAACACCCTGCTTGCCTCCAGGGTGCCCTGGGTGTCTTGGGTTTCGATGGTTTTGCTATGAAAAGCGTGACGTTCCCACGCCAAAGATCGATGGACGTCATGGGGTCTCAGGGTTGGGTTTCTTGTGGAAGATTCCTTGTGGTCGGGCCCCTACTGAACCCTAACCCTAATGACACGATGAAGAGGTGGCCTCACTTAGGTCCCCGTCTTCGCATTAGGGATAGTACATCTAGGCGGCTTGGTCTGAAAGATTTGCAGAAGAGACCCCCTATCCCTGATGTTTTTGGCCCTCCTAGCTCAGGTCCCCTCCCACAGGGTTAGGGGTCCTTTTCTTACTAATCAGTCCTCCTCCGCCGAATTGCCTCCAAGGCGCCCAGGAGCGCACAGGAATTCCTGGAACTCTGCGGTCCACAGCGGCGCGGCGCGGCGCGGCGGCGACTTCGTGGCA